GTTCTCCGCCAAACTTCATTCTGGCCAGTCCTAACTAGTTATCTCCAGTTGCTATTCATCCTTTTAATGCCTACTTCCAGTCTCCGACACAGTGGGTGATTTGGCTTTTCACTCTTCTATAACGTTCTGGTGTCTTGACTGGGAACCAAGGAATTACAATCATGTTGAAGTCACCACAAATAAGCTTGTCAGTGAATAGAAGGGATGATGTTAGTGTGAATACTTCCGATAATACTACTATTTCACCTATTGATGCGTTAGGTTGACGGTGGACACAGCCAAATCATGAGCTAACGGAACTCGATGACTTTAAAACAATCCACACCGGACCCTTCAGTTTGTTTAATTCAGGTATTTCACATAATAGTGAGTTTAAGATAAACTAAGCTTAAATAAGACATCCTTCGCCTCGTCCTTTCAACCTATGACTTCTATATGGGAAATAGTTATCAAGAGATATACTTGAGTCGAAAACATTATTGTTAGTCCATGCTTTAGATATAATTATAAGCGTTGATATATGGATACAAACAGGGCTAAATTCATTTTTTTACTGCAGATCGACGAAGTATTGATAAGAATCATATTAAACGAACGGCCTACTAAGTTAAAATTTGTGAGAGTATTTCGATTTAATACTGCTGTAGAAAAATCTAGGTTGTGGGCCAAAGGCATTGAGGATTGAGATCGACCATGATTTTCTGTAATCGAACGGCTATAGTATGATGACTAGGAGTAGTTGAATTATAGTACGAACTAAAAATCCCAGAAATAACGTAATCGGATTAAGAATTACTAGATAAGCACGAACGAATGTACTGCATTTGGAATTCGAAATCAACCATTCAACAAGTAGAAAAGAATCATAAGTTCATTCAAACATCACATATAGCTTTTAGCACAATTTCTAGATTTCCAGGTAGGTTTTTATTGGTGCCGCTGATGGATCAGAGACGATTTAGGAAGGTTAGTGGGTACGGCTCCCAGGTTATGGAAAAGAAAATCCTATAACTGTCGTCAGTGCATAGACTGGGTTGCTTAGTTTGTACAATTTCGGCCGCCGGGTGTTGCAAGAAAGTCATGGTTTACGTTGATTTTTTTAATGTTAAAATACGCTTAAGTAAGGATTGGTTAATTAAGAAGAGATTAGCTAATGTGGTGCTACCAAACTATAAGAAAATAGGACAGCATGCCTTAGTCTATACTTTCCGTAATCTCCGTGTCACACAATAAAAATGCTGCAACTCACACTTTTGTAGCATGGCACTTTTTAAAAGAGTTTAACTGTATTACACCAAAGAAACGGGATCTGAGTGAATGTGAGAACTACAGAGCCATCATAATTAAATCGGTACCAAGCAAAATTTTAAACACGGTGTTTCTGAGTCGAATGAAAGATCCAATGGATGTTGAGATTTGAGATAAACAGGCCAGATTTTTAAGGGGTGGTCGTGCACAGGCCAAATCGCGACACCAAAAATCATCGTTGAACAATCAGTTGAGTGAAACTCGTCACCATACACCAACGTCCTTGACAGCGTGAATAGGAGAACCTTGTTGAATCTCCGACACTATGAAATAACTGAGAAAACCGTCACCATCATGCGGAACTATTAAGACGGACTACACTGCAAAGTCGTGCATGGAAGACTGATGACAGACGCATTCCTAGTGAGGACCGGAGTCAAACAAGGCTGCTTACTCCCCCCCTTTCTCTTTCTTCTGGTTGTCGACTGGATTATGAAGATCGTCAAATCTGAGGGGAAGCACGGAATACAGTGGACAGCTTAGATGCAACAAGACCATTTAGACTTCACAGATGATCTAGCTCTTCCTTCCATACACACCAACAAATGCAGATGAAGACAACCAATGTAGCAGCAGCCTCAACATACAGAAGGTAAAACCAATATCCTCAAATACAACACGGGGAACACCAACCTAATCACACCTGATGGAGAAACTCTGCAAGAGGTGGGAGCATTAACATACCCGATCAGCATCATTGATAAACAAGGTGGATCTGATGCAGAGGTGAAAGCAGGGATTTACAAAGCAAGGTCAGCACCTCTACAACTGAAGAATATCTAGGAATCATAGCAATTGTCAGCCAACATTAAAGTCAAGATTTGCAATACAGATGTTAAGACGGTTCTGTTATACGGAGCTGAGGCTTGGGGAACTACCACAACTCGAAGTCTCAAAGGCAAAAAGAAACACGGATGTGAATCAGTCGATCAAAAAAACTGCATCTTCACTGGTAATTTTACACCCAGGATGAACACAAGTCACTTGATATATTATTATTACGGACGACTATACTGTATCCTCAATTTCGAGAGAATATTGATATTAAGTTTAGTTTTCATGAAAATATCAGTAATATTCCGAGGCATTCAAAAGCAGTGCGTAAATAAACCAGGTCGTCCTTATATTATCATACTCGTGCAGTACCTACTTGTACTCTGGTCATTTGCTTGATCCACACTTACATTCTTCATTTTTATTCTGGCATAAGCTTATGGCCACCAAATCAATTTTCACTACTAATGTGAATGACTGACTAATTTCCCGACCGTGTTATTCATTACTTTTGTCACTGGTTTTCAACATACACTGGCTATTGATTAACAACTACGTGACTCGTATTCACTTTTTCTATCTAAGTGTAAAGTCTTTATATATCAGTCAAGAGCAAGGATAATCAGTTTACAGAGGAGCATTTGCCGAAAGATTTGACTTACTGACGTACGCACATAAATAATTCTATTAGTGATTCAAGAAAAGCACTTCTGAAGAGCGGACGGCAAACGAATTAGCAGTAACAATAATGATAGTAATAATAAGGATAAGGGTAATAATATTGGTGATCGTGGTTGCAACGTAAGTGGAAAGTTCTCTCCGTGATTGAGGTCCATATTGCAAATTTGTCAGGCGACTTTCCTACAGATATGCAAGGTCGAAACACCCGAAACTAACAACCCTGTAAATTAAAACAGGATGATGAACGCGCAAACACAGCAACCAATGCCACCGTTATTACCACTATTACTATTATCACCATCATTACTTTCACCTCTCTCAGTATTGTTAGTGTGAGCACAATATTGCGTCGCGATTGGCTGTTTTTATTGGTTTTGTTATAAACAATACGGTGTTTTGTCAGTAGTTTCCCGATGTTAACTAACACACTTTAGAAACGAATCACAATGTACAAATCATCCGATTTGTGAACGTTTGAAATGAAGTAGGAGAGCTTGTCAACAAGGTCATCGGGATAAGAGAACACTGATCGACTGGGATTCATGTTTTATACAGGTTAATATCAGGGATGAAAATAAACTTTCGAACTATTCATACTTGTTTTTGATTGCTTTACCGGTAGATAATACATAGGGTATCGTAGATAATACTGTAGTGAGTCCTGACAACCAGGCAGATTTGTCAAGACCAATAATCTGTTAGCCTGTGTACATTCAATGTGGGGATACCTAAGTCCATCAGCAATAATAAAATAAGTCCATGTTATTTTATGGAAATTATATTCCTATTGATGAAAGATCGACGCCAATTTAATTCACGATTCCAACAAGCAAATCTCTCTGTTTGAGTAGATAGTACATGTGCACATTATACTGATTGGTAAGATATAACATCTTTGAAGTACTTAGGTTCATAAACATGCTCCGAAGCGGGAGCAACAAGAACACTCCAAGGACTAGCAGTCAGTTTCTTAGATGCTACTTACCCGTAAATGACTTCGGGGTAACAATTATGTAAGTATTAATATGGAAGATTAGAATGGAAGGCTTGCCCTGTAGTAGATACGCAAACTGATAAGTTGATATGAGTTCTGACCTATTTGTGAGACATAAAGAAGTGTTAAAAAAAGCCTGTTTTTAATGGGTTAGTCGAACGAAATACCCGATATGTGTCTGGTAGGTGATATTTTTTATTATTAGCTCCATTCAATGTTTTATTTTTGGTACAATATAAAATCCTCAGCGCAAAGTATTTCAACAAGTTTCCGTTTCTTATTTCTTGGCCGATCCTGAAGATAAATATCGAGTGATCGCCAATTAGTTGTTAGCAGTTAAGGAATCGACATCTGAATAATGTACATTCCTTTCGATGTATATTGCCAGCAACAACAACGTTTCTGGTTGTGCTCTTTCCTAACTTGTACAGTGAAAGGTCATGAACTTCTCACAAACGCACCTTAATAGGTTGTGAAACTAATTAACATAATGATCTGTTGAAGTAAACAAGATAGATAACTTGTTGAAATATTTCGATGACAGGAACTGGTAGCCCAGATATTCAAGCAGGACGCCTATAAGGTCAATAAAATCTCCACCACGCACTTACTAACGCGCAGAAACCGAAAAACGCTCAGGTTTCATTTGAATGTACCTAATTGTATTATTGTATGGGTTTTACATACATATGAAGGTGTGCTTTTGAACAGGTAAGATAGTGAATGACATTGATGAGGAATAGACTGTTTTCAAGGTAGTTTAGTAAGTTAAAATCAACTAGATCATCAACGGGAGTGTAGTCAACTTGAGCCAGTATCTAGCTCCACATACTTTTCTTTACTCTTTTATAGGAACATTGGTGACTGTACATAAACTTTAAATTAACTTCTTATCGGTATCCATAAAAAGTAAAATCAAAATCAGCTTTATTTTGGTAAAAAGAAACAATAGAGTGAAGACGAAACATCATTTGATCTCCTCCGTAGAATACAAATTCATATAAATGTACGCATATGCATTGGTATAAATAAGTAGGCGAACTAAATAAAAATTGGTGCGGTGAATTTAAGTTAAATATCCCAAGCGAGATTATATAATTATTTAACCTAAACCTGTAGACAGTAGTAAATATATATATATATATATATATATATATATATATATATATATATATAATTATTATTATGTGCAGATAAAACCACTGTTTAAAACGCTAAATGCATTTAAAAAAGTGGTAAAATTGTACGCGTTTGCATTTCTACTCATGAAGTTCAATTTAATATATAATTTATATAGATTATTTGTGAAACTGCCGTAATTATTTAACGCTTCACAAATGAATTTTACAAAGTGAATTTGAGACTGTCAATTGACGAAACCCAGAAAGATAATATATATAAAGAGAAATATATTCAGATATGAAAACTGTTAAATAAAACATATCTTCAAAGCAGAATCAACAGAAAAAGTATAAAACTTTCTGTACAGCATAGAGGTTTCCTTAAAAGCATGGGATAAGACAAGAAGTATGTTAAAACATATATGACTTATTCTGTAAATGCCACTTATGATTCCATTACAATGATACTAAAAATGGATCATTAGTAATGATACAGATGAATTATAAAAAAAGCCAGGAATCTGAATCAGAAAAGTGAGATTACGGAGTTTGGATAGTGGTTGGATCACGATCGAAAAATCGTTTGAATGTAAAGTTTGGAAATGGTAATTGAGTATTGTTAGCCGATGAATAATCCAAACTATGATTGTTCCCACTACTATAAAGTGTACGTTCATCGTCAACTGGGTCAAAGTTGGATGTATCCAATTCATCACGAATCTAAAATCGAAACAATATGTATACATGTGTAATGAACGAAGACTTGGGCAAGAGAAACAATTGTATTATACAAAATTACATCTTTGTAAAATATGGAAACAATGATTCATATACACTATTTGCACATCTTTCTTGGGTTGTCTCATACAAACTACATTAGTCTTTCATTCCTGTTGTGATTTCGATTGTTTTCAGTTTTGCTTTCTCTTCTCTTCATTTCCTTCTTCTGTCAGTAGGAATTCTACTTCCAATGCCTGGCACATGCTACTTATATCGGTCCATATAAGTAGCACAACCACACTCGTCCCCATTAATAAACTGTTCTTGTAATCGTTCCGATCACCGTTTTTGTAGTTCACCTCTGTTGCTGTGGCCAGAGCTTATTATGTATTGGTGGCCGCAGCTTTCTACCATATATCAGCTAGAAAGGTGACTTCTTAGTTGTTCCTTGTATGGAGGAAGGAAGGACCAGCAAAATTAATGGTAACTCTCTCCCAGTTCCCTCGTTTAGACGCTAACCATCCCTTTAACGTCCGCTTGTTCTTTTCTGTTAATCCGTTCGTCTATGAGTGATACAGTGTAGTTCCTATCCTCTTGGTATGCAGCTGTTCTAGACTAGCTTTAAATTTGTCACTTTCAAAACAGGGATCCTGGTCGGTTAAAATCATTTTTGGTATTCTGTGACCCGCTATAATGTGCCAGATTACTACTTCAGTCACTGCTCTTGCCCGCTGGCCTGCATTGGGAACGGTGTCTACCCAACGTGTAGCATTTTATGTGATAACTAGCAAGTACTAACTATTGCTTGCCATCCATGGAAACAGTTCCATTTGCATCCACTAACTGAGGTTACTTGGACTGACTGCAATGGCGGTTGTAAATATCGATCAATATTCATTAGTTGACGCTACGGGTAAGTTAATACATATTGTGCAATATCGTCTCTCGCACCTGGCCAGTACGCAGTTTGTCGTAATAAATCTGTCGTCCTTGAGACACCTGTATGCACTACCTGGTAACACTCATAGTCATCTTGTGCCGCCGGTCCTTCAGGATTGCCACCACCCAATTCTCGTCATCATCCCGCTAAGTCAGGGCTCTGTATACGTCCATCCTCCGTCTTTCCTTCTGCCGAGGCAACACTGTTATTTCCTTGTCCATCAGTCGTTTGTCGGCCTATGGTCCCTCTTTAATCACTCTGATTACCTCTCGAAGTTTAAGGTCATCCTATTGCTGCCTGGCAAGTTCTAGTAGGTCTCTCCCTAGGCTCTTTACTGCACATGCTATCAGTGGAAGTTCAGCTTTTATGTCCGACCATGACAAGTAGTTTTTCACTACATTTTCCTTCCTTGGAACATACCCGGTACTAAAATCGTACTCCTTCAGATATAACATTTATCGCGCCGACTTACCAAGGGGGTCTTCAGCTATTTTCAACCACTGTAAGGGTTTATGATCAGTCTCGATGTGATGTCGTATACCTAGTAGGTACGGTATTCATTCGACTACCGCCCAAAACAATCGCCAAATACTTCTTTTCGACTGTTGAATACTTCTATCCAGTGAGTGTGGACACGATTCACGTACTCCATCACCGGTAGAATGACTTAAGATGACACCTACATCATAATCACTTGCATCTATGGCCATTGCATATGATTTATTGGATTACGGCAGTCTCAACGTCATCTGGTGATCGTCTAAAAGGTCTTTAATTCAGTCAAAAGTTTGTTGCGTTGCTTAGCAACTCATATAGAGGAGCCATTATATTGTTGAAGTTCTTAACGAATCGATTTTAGAAGGCCACTCACTTCCCAGGAATTTTCTCAATTTCCTTTTCGAATTGGATACCACAATATTTTTTATGGTTAGGAACTTCTGAACATGAACGGTGCACCTACCAACCCAAACGACATTCGTCAAAATTGATCCTGCTCCTTACGTACGTTAAATGCTATCTTGTTTCGATCGTTCTCTTTTATTGGCAGTTACCAATAACCTGACCGTAAATCCAGCACTATAAAGATTGTGGCATTCTGTAGTCGATCTAATGTTTCCGCTATTGTTGACATTACACATGGTTCCAGGTTTGTGATGCTATTCAATTCTCTAAAATCGACATAAAATCTATACTTCCCATTTGGTTGCTTTACGAGGAAGACTGGAGAGCTGTATGGGCTGTCCGCTTCCTCAATTATACCTTCTTCCAATATCTCTCGATTTACCTTAGCCTCTAAATGCATAAGAACACGTTGTAAGTATGGCACTCCATCGTCCTTTATCGGGATTTCATACCTTACTTTATCACGAAATCAGTATGCCTCTCCGTCTCCCAGGAACAGCTTCGTATACTTCGTGAGCAACTCGATAAATTTCGGTTGTTTCTCAGAGACGTCTGATGTTACTCTTATCTCAGCCACCTCGCTACTTTCATGTATTACGAATGAAACATAATTCGTGACCACCTTCCTGATTCTTAAGTCAATTATCGCTTCTACTTCTCTTAGGAAATCTGCTCCTAATATCAGTCTCGGTAGGCTCGTGGTTACCACGAACGGACAATTTATCACACCACCACCAACTTTTACGATACTGTTAGACATTCCCAAAAGCTCTAACATGTGGTCCTCAATGGTGTAGACAACTCACGTACATGACTTAATTTTCTTACATTGCACTTAGTCTATTAATGATACTGCTACTCCTGTATCGATCGGACACTCCAACTCACGTTCGTCTATTCTTACTCTCACATACACTGCCTCTATCTACTAATGTAACGACCCTCAGTTTCATTATATGGAAGGAACACGAATTATAGTCTAAAAATTCTGAGTTTTTGCCTTGTTGGGCAGTTTATCTTACAATGGCCTATTCCTCCACAAGCGTAACATTTATAATTCCTGTTGTTATTCACTCGTATTGCGGCAATCTCACTCTGCAGCTCCTTTATCTTCTTCCCGACACTGTCTATCTTTTGACTTCCGTACCCAACCGAAACTACTGTTTGGATCATCAGCTGTCTAGTTACTTTTGCTATTTCAATGATACCTATGGATTATGCGATGATTATTAATTTCACCTGTTGGGAAATGGCAGAAGGCACGCTCTCAATGAATTGCGATGCCAGCAGATATGCTTCTAACTCGTCATCTAGATTCAGTGGCACACGACGCAACACCCTGGTTGACTCCATTGACAACTTCACCGACCGGAACTTCTGCAATGTATTCTGCTTGAACACTGGGCTGTCGAACTCTGTGACCACCTACTATTTAGTCTTCCTGCCAGCTCCCTCCAGGCTGTCACATAAAGCCTTCGTCTTGTCTCTCAGAAGAGTCCCCAGTACCACCGTCTTTGCCTTAGGCTCCTTTACACCCATCAACCTCGAGTCAGCCTCAAACGTCCTCAGGAAGTTCAGAATATCTCCTCTCTCAAACTCTCGCAGCGATTGGATCTTTATCATGAGACATCAATTGTAGTGAACGAAGACTTGGGGGGAATAAAAATTATACATTAACAAAATCATGTGCACATCTTCATCGTTCTTCCATTCCTGTTATGACTTTGATTGCTCACTGATTTCCTTTTTGTTCTGTTCAATTCAATCTTCTGCTGCCAGGCATTTCACTTCAGACTGCGGCTACATACTACTTTTATCTGTCAACAAAAGTGGAATACACCACACTACCATTACCACAACAACTATTACTGCTAATAATGCTTCCACTACAAGTGCTACTACCGCTATCAGCACTTCTACTACTAGTAGTACTAATATTAATACAACTATGATTACGACTAAGATTGCTACTATGAATACGGCTGCGACTAATGCAATTATTACAATAATATATACTAATAGTACTACTAATGTTAATACTACACCAACTAATATTGCTTCTTCCATTTGTACTATTACTATTATTATTACTACTAATAATAATCCTAGTACTACTTATACTAGTATAATCACTGCTTCTACCAATTCCACTCAATTTTACAAAGGAATGAAACTTCAAACGATTACTTACTGTTGGAACGTATGGGGGCGTTTGCTGAACAAGTTTATCCCATGCAACTGATTCAAAGAAAGGATGGGATTTTATTTTTACTGGATCAGATAGTCGATCAGATGGATCTCGGAGGAGTTGACGTATAAGATTGCTTGCATCTTTTTTTAATCGTGGCTCACCGGGCAACTTAAGGTAATTATACCACTGGACAACACGAATTTGAGTATCTGCCGCTGTCTGAGCTAGGAAAGGAGGTTGTCCAACAAGCATTTCGTATAAAATCACTCCAACTGACCACCAGTCGCAGGCTTGTCCGTAATCTATAAATTATATACAATAGTAAGGATTGACTGATATATTACACATTATTACTAGAGTTATTTCAAATAATTGGTAAATTGTTGGATTTCCTATTTAATATTTAATTAGAACAAAAATAATAAATTTGCCAGAAGATAAAGTAACCAACGATGATTATAACCCCTAACAGCTTACCTTGCCTGCGCAAAATTTCTGGTGCGATGTAATTCGGCGTTCCAACCAAAGATTGGGCACATCGGCGATTAGCAAAACTATTTCTACGCCTTTCAAGTGTTTTGTCATGGTGTACTCCCCTTAACGCTGTGAATTGTTTACCATTTGTTTGACGGGAATTGTGCACTTGTTCCAGTACCCCAACCTCTTCCTTTTCTATAGTTGTAACATCGTCTTCGTCACATTCTTTACAGCTTTTCGTGATCTGATCTTCAGTTAATTTGGTTGACTCAGGTGGTTCAGCTGTTTTAGCTCGATTTATCCTATTACGGCTGGGTGAGGAACAAGGTATATTGAAGTCTAAATCCCAATATTTGGAGCTATGTGTCCAGCGAAAGCCAGTACACAAACCGAAATCTGTTAATTTAATATGTCCTTCACGATTAATGAGAATGTTGTCCGGTTTGATATCTCTGTTTATATAAAATATTAAAAAACATGTCAAGGATATAAACCTATCCTGAAAAATGTGTGTGAAATATTAATGTGTAATGTAAAATTCTTCACTAACCTTATAATCAAACTAGATATAATAGCCATAACGATGGTTCACCGTTAGCAGAATCAGTGGGATTTAAAAGATGTGTATGCTGCCAGATCGCCAAACATGAGAAAAGTGACATCATGAGACAATACATCTGAGTTACATATAACAATGACACTAAATTGTGATGGGAGTTAACAGAGGCTCAGTAAAAGGAGTAGGATTTTCTTTAACAGTAGTACCGTTCTAGCTGTTGTTGTTTCTTTAGGAAATTTAGTTACGTTCCACTTCTCAATTATGAGTAAAGCAGTTCAGTAAATGTCTTAATTCTAACTAACACAGATTCACCTTTAACAAAGCAGAAAATAACTTTCATTAAAACAAAATCTCGCTGCGCTGAAGTTCACGAGCAATGTTTATAGTCTTTAGTGTTTCTAGAACTCAATTATCAGTTCTAACTGTTAAATTTTGATTTGGTTTGTGTTTTTTAGTTGGAAAGTAAAATCCAATAAAAAAGTTATGAAGAATATTTCGTCAATTACCTTACCTTCAGGTTTGCGTACTCTAAAAGAATCGGACCATAAGTATTATTTATACACATGAGAATAAGTGAACGTCTATCTAAGGTTTAAATGGAACAGTATTACATTTGTAACACAATAACAAGAAAAAACACGAATTAGTTTGGAGAAGAATAATCAAAGAACACAAAAAGATGCGAACGATAATAAGAAATTCATTAATCAGTCCCGAAAGAACATCAAATCCGGAGTGCAAGTACATCCAGCTGAGAAGTCCCAAATAGGATGAAACAGGCGACTTGGATTTCACTGCTAGCCACCATCCATCTCTGCTGATAATAAGAAATGTTTTCATATTATAATCTAGTAAAAGAGTCTTATTTTATTTTTACACTTTCCAAGTTGATAAAACGAATGTTTACAAACATTCATAACTTTCTGAGTTGATGGCACAAGTTAATGATTGTGTAAGACAAACAACACTGTACTAACGATGAATTAGATTAAAAAACAGTGTATGAAATTGAGAAGTGTGATTACCCGATCAATGCGATGTATTCAATGGACTAAAATTCACAAAGGTCTTTCCAACTTGTTATTCTTCAGGATTATTGCTTTCATTTTAAAAATTACCTAACCAGGATAAAAGTCCAAAACCAAGAAAGCCACTTTTTCAGTACTACGCTTGTTCAACCTATGAACAAATCCAACCTAGGTTTCTAAATCTTAACCAAGTCGTCGAAATCAAATAAACGTAAATACATATAAAATGGTCATTAATGATCCATTAAAAGGAACGAATAGCTAAAGTTTCATTGTAACTAGTAACCCAAGTAGTCATTTAGAATGTAAGTAAACATAATTGCCGATAGAATTCAATGATCAGAACATCCTGGCCGGCTTCCAACGGTTATTCGACTATCAATTCATATTAAAGAATATTTTCTAATACAAATTGTTTGTAAATTATAAATTGCTTCTCTCGTACGTTCAATCCCAAAGTGACACTCCCAATAGTATGGGAAGTTCAATTAAATACAAAACTACTAATGTTGAATGCAAAGACATAATATGACTAATTTGACCACACTATTTCTATGATCGAAACTAAATTAAGTCAAAATACATTGTAGCTACAACAAAAATAATTAAGCAGTAAAATGTACTAACCTATGAACGAATCCCATAGCGTGAACACTCTGCAATGCTAATGTCAATTCAGCGATATAAAATCGTGCTAACGGTTCTTCGAAAATACCTTTTTTAATTAACAATGACATCATATCACCACCTATATGACCAAAACATGTTTAAAAGATAGGGAGAATAAGATAAATACTAAGACTGGCAATTTTTTCTGGAAAATTAAAGTTATGCATTAATGGAGGGAATTTAGGTCCTTCCAAGAATAGTTCATAGATCCCTTTGATGCAGCTATGACATTATATTTTGCGTAGCTAAAATTTATTATTTTAGATATACTGAGCTGTGAAAGTGTATATAACTAAGTATGTTTATTTGAAAATTACTGTACATTTCAAACATGGTCAGATATATTAATCATATCTTTGTTCTTTATCGAATTCGATAACAAAACTGTACATTCTATTCAAAAATAAGTCATACAGAAAGATGATAGTCAAATCGTGGTGAGATATCACAGACTGCTTAGGCTAACTAATAACTGCAGTGCCTTTTTTCAGAGACTAGTAAGCAATCTAGTTCTCTAACAAAGGCAAATCAGCCATATTAATGTTATACAGAATCACTAGTAAAAACGTTTTTGAAAACAATAACCAAAATCTAACCGTTAAATATGGATAAGAAACAAAAATGTATTCCAGATTTATTTGTCGGACAAAATCAATTTGAAGACAAGGTATAAAACATTTCTTTTCACTCAACTGAGCAGTTAGATTACTTATAGTTAGTTCACTAACTATAAATCTTGACATGAATTAGTCTGGATTCTCCAGTCTACCTACTGATAAGCCAGTATGTATGTTTTGCACGGTTCCAAAAATCATTGATGGTGAAAAACAAACAAGGCGCAAGTGTCTTGCCACTGGTGACCTGATAAACGTAATGAAGTTACCAATTACACGATAACATAATCAAGTAGATAATTCACTTTCTGTGGTTAGTTCTCGACATGGATCGATTATATCCGGCTATATTACCAGTTAAACAATATTTAAAGAACGTTTGTGTGATTGTAATACAAAACGGAAACGACTTAATAAAAATAGAGATTTCGTTTGAATATGGTAGAAAACAATTTACTTGTAGGCTTCGTCCACAACTCAATGCTAACTGATATTGGAAACCTTAAACCTAACAATCAAATTCCAGGAATATTTCCACGATTGGTGCAAAAACATGACACAACTCACTGAAAAGTTCATTTGGGGCACTGAGGTATTTATTAGTTACGTTTTTCATGAAATAAAAATACGAAAAGAAAACTGAGCGATACATTAAAAATAATTAACTTCTTACCAGGAATATACTCCATAACTAAGTAAAGTGCTCGTGAATCTTGGAATGAAAAAAACAATTTCACGACCCACTCATTATCTGCCTCAGCTAGAATATCTCTTTCAGCTTGTACATGAGCTAACTGTCGGCGTTCTACAACATCTCTTTTATTTAATAACTTCATGGCATATAGTTGGTTATTATCCTTTTTGCGTACAAGCCATACTTTGCCAAATGCTCCAACACCTTGAATTTTACAGAAAATTGTGATAAATTATAGTGGGATTTTCTGTTTTGATAAAAAAGTTTGAAAATTTATGGTTGTAAAAGCAGTTTAAAATTAGTATTTGGAAGTATGTTTTTGTTGAACAGTGCAGCTTAAATTATCAAAGACAGTAAACTTCCACAAGTTCTATTTCTGAGGTTTCTTGAAAGGTGTTTTCATCTAATGAATGTCTACTACACTGAATAATTGGTAATAAACTAATTAGTTTGATTGAAACTATGAGATAATCAGTAAAACATTTCTTTAACATAGAACATGAGTATGACACGAAATTATTGTGAAATAGTTTGATGAGCCTCTTTTCTGAGATATCTATAATTAAGCTTTTAAAGGCAAAAATGGTTTTCTACTTCACTAATCAGTTTGTTTATTTGTTATTCAAGTGGTGTAAAGCTAAGTAAAAAAATAGATTTTCATAGTGTATTGCTAATTCAACATATAAACTTTATATACGCTTATTAGATTTTGAATAACACATATTTTCAAGATTAGAAATACTATCCATATCATCCTAAACCGAACTGAAGTCAAACCTTTAAACTATCAGTTGAAAGTTAACAGGTTAAACTTATCACTCTCTCATTACTATAAAAAAGACTTGAATGATCATCATCATATTAACATACAACACAACAATAAGTGAATAATATTGACTTGAAGCTTATTTCTACGTATGCTTTCGGGGTAAAATATTATAGAAAAAAGTTTTAAAAGATTTCAATAAACATAATCATATCAAAGTATATTTAAGAATTTCGCAGAATTGGTAAGGACTAGCCTAACTGGATTTATTTCATTAACCAATAAAGTACTTTTCTTGCCTACTAATAATTAGCTTTGGGATATACTTCATAAGGTCCCAGTAAAACAGCAGCATATTTGGACTTAATACATTAAGGAGTGAAAGGGGTGCCGAATAAGTGATGTTATGAATTGAGACAAGTTGGAAAATATAAGTTATTCATTTCCTTAGTTATATAGTAATTGCTAAGAAATCCTAAGATTTCGGATTTGATTTTGTGTGTATGCTGATGAAAAGTTGTGAACTATGTTGCAATATCTGCCATGTATCTCCTAGATTTAGGGAGTTCGCCAACTGATCACAGTCCGTAGTGGAACATATTTCAAGGTCAACAAACGCAATGATATACAATTGAATTATTGACAAACTGACAGCATCAAATGATGCATGATGCAAAGGTTTTTTTGTAGAAAAATATTTTTAATAAGTTCAATCTATAAGATTAGTCGACAAAATAAGTCTAACAGAAGTTTGAATTCAATAAACAGATCATCAAAACTTTTAAGAACAACAATAGGCTTCAGTAAATAACAATCAGTGAGGAGCAAAACAAAATTAGTCACTTAATTTCTAATCATTGAAAACAGTATTCTTCATTCAAATAAATGTGTCTTAATTTAGTTTTTTTTATCGATTAGGAGATTATTAATTGTGTAGACCTGTTTTATTGGTTTAAACCACTAGACTATACACCCAAACCCACCTATATTACATTGAAAATATGGCCGATAGAAACAAAAGAAATAGTATAAATATTGATTACTCAATGCAAAAATAATTAGCTAACCTCAATGAAATATTTTTTTAATTAAATAATCAACAACTTTGTATTGACCTACAAATATAAATCAGTTGTAGTTACATTGATTCGATTAACAGAACTCCACTCACAGTTTGCCGTTTCGCTTAGTTTGATCGGGAGAGAAAAACGTTAGGCCTGAATCAGTAAGCAAATCACATTAAAAAATAAGGCTCAATGTTAAATTTTTAGAAAATGCGAGTAATGAAAACCAAATCAGAATAATTTAAGACGGAAAAAGAATCAACAATTGTTTGTAGATTGAAAAGATGAAAATAATAAGTATTATAGAAAATAAAGAAAAGAGATAAATCTACAAATCATGAGGTTGAACAGTAAAAGGATAGAACAAATATTGGATCCTAGCAAATCTAGTATTGCTGAATAAAACATCACTATTTCAATTCATATCCCTATGTTGTGCAGTGAATTTAAAAATATAATGATGTTTCACAATTAAAAAGTTTCGTTACATACTTTTGCAAAAGAGCTTTTCCGAGCGAAGAATAGGCAACTACTGTTTTTAAAAAAATTATGTCTTGAATTACCGTACACAGTGGCAGCACTGTGTAAGTGATGCTTAAGTTCAGTAATTTAATTTAGGGTATCGTGCAGTTCATTATTAAATGCTTTCATTTGAGAGCATCAACTTCGAAGGCTTGAAACACGTACTACGCATATTGTCCAAGAGGTTTCCTCACCAAACATTGTTTATTGACATTTGAGCTGAGCCGAAGAGTAGGGAAAGATTAGTTTATGAAATAACCCTACAAAGTCAAAAATAACTGTTTTACGTGACGATTTACTAGTACATCAGTACTCCGTAATCAGGTACTGAAGTAGCTTGGTAAGTTATCGGACAAGATTAATGACATCATTCAGTACAACTCTGTTGTGTTTTCAAGACGTGTTACTCAAAACAGTAAAATGTGATGGTAAAAAGTGGAATGTAGTAAGAATTTATTGAGAATATGAAAACTTCACGGATACATTTAAGGAAGAAATAGCTAGGTAACTGATAGAATATGAAAGGGATTTTCGTCTCAATTTACGAAAAGACTTGAAGTACTCACAATTTTTGGTGAACTATCTGAATCAACTGTTACATTGAACAGAGATCTTTATTTCACTTACTCTTATTTAGTTTTATCATGAATGTCTTTTTAGTAACGTTATTTAATGACTTGTATTTACTTGGGATACTTCTGGTAAAAAAGATGATTCCTTTGCTTAAAAGGTGGTAACAATATTCAGGGTTCCCTTAACTTCTATTAAAGTGAAGGATTTTCTTAAGGACTGGTCTATGTTAGTGCTTATTTCCAAAATAGAGACTGAAGAAGTTAAGGCCATGAACCATTTCGTTTATTCCGAAAATCATACAGGTCCTAACTGGTTGTTTGATAACAAACTTCCGTCATACAAAAAGCATATCTGATCTTTGATAACTTAAAGTGTCCGTGAAGCGAGTAAGATATCCTTCTATGTATGAAAATGTAACATTTCTTTCGATTTAACGACTGTAAAACGTGACACTCAAAAATATGAAAAATGTGTACTTTGGCAGTAAATGCTTGTATATTTATTCTTTAAATAAGCAACGATCAAAAATTGAGTAGTGCTGATATTAAGCAGAATTTACTAGGTAAAAGTGGTAAAATTGGTTGACTAATTTATGTCTAGGGGATGTGACACAAACCCAAACATTGCCACCATGGATGTGGTGTTTGCTAGCATCAGTTAGATATGAAAGTGTTTATGGGTGGTCAAAACAAAATACTTAGTTGATTTATGAAGTCCTTGACTTCAATCTAAGATGCATTGAGAGATACAGGCTTGTTTACTTGAAGTAAACGTAAAGCATAATCTATGGTAAGAGACTATGAGAAACATCGCTAAAATGATTACATGTTATCATTGATGTATAAACCATTTTTTTTATTGTGCCAAATTCTTAAACATAGCATTACTTTACACTATACTTCCTAAATTCATTCGCTGCGTTTAGTATATTTCTCTTTTAAACTTTACTTTTCTACTTTTGCCGATATAAGTATTTCCATTCTTATACTTATTTCTTTTAAATTTCCTCACACTGTGCAAAAGTTTGGATCCACACATGAATCATGCTGATGGTTTTTTTGTTAGATTATTTCACATATCGCATAAAAAGATTAAAAAAAGATGTAACGTGCTAAGACTTAAATATTATAACACAATAAAGAAACATATGATCAGATAATCAGTTTTCTCCCATTATACTTAATCTGCTTATACATAAATATATATTTTTTAAAACGTTATCTTTAGACTCCCTACTAACATATGCCTTTTCCCTTTACAACAAACTGGACTAACTTTAAAGTTTCTTTTGGATATAAATACACTAAAATAGGGAAGACATACTAATGTCGATCTCCATGTTACAGCAGCTCAACTAGGTGACTACTATATCAGTTCAGTTATATCATCATTGTTGAAATAATAGTATTCTCTCAGATATAAGATCTAATCCGACTTCGGATAGTCTCAAACAACTAAATGTGCTCTCTGTCTTTTATTTTCTGGTTGTCAGTATCAATAAACCGATATAAAATACTACGTTGCATGGAATGATGACTATGTAAACAGAAATCCAAGCATTATTCAGCTAGTAAATAAATATTTCAAAATAATTTATCGCAATTTACATCCTTTTTATCAGTGGTCTATATAAATGAATACAGAATCCCAGTTTAAATTAGTTTTGTAACATGTCGTTCACTGAAAATAGGACGCAACTATACATAACCTTATGTTCATATTTTATGTATCCCTACCGAACATGTAAACCTTTTTCTAATCTATTTTAAATATTTTCATCCCGAACACGTTTAGGAACATTTCTGAAGATTAGAAAAACATATTTTTTTGCCAAGTCATCGGAATGTTGTTGTCCGTTAACAAAACCTTTGTATTATTTTTATCAGAGTATACAGATGTGACTATTTATAGGTGTGTGTCTGCAAATAGTTGTTTTGAAAGCAAAACTTTTGTAAGATCAGTCTAATTAAACAAAATCGAAATAAAACAGGTAACATTAGGAATTTGGTTTTTCATGTTGCCTTAACTACCCACACAAACATGCACATTCTTTCACAAATCTTCGACAACTCCATGTATGTTTATATATACCTCAAGTGTCCATCTGTTCATATGTAACATGATGACCAATATGATTTGTTAGAATTCATAATTCCGTACAAAGATTTATGAAAAGATGTGTAATCCGACTAAAAGAAGACGAGTAGGTGGAAGTTAGCAGTATGCATGCAGACATATATCTATATAAACATATAACTCTATGTAATTAAACGTAAGAG